CTAACTTATAAGATATGAATAATAATATTACAGTATCAGAGTTTATTAATCAATTATACTGAGCTTGTTAACTTGACTTTCTAAATCTATTTTAATAATCAATACTCTGAGAAAAAGACTAACAAGACTTCTTCTAAATAATCAATAATGAGATTTCAATAGCACTGTGATGACTTCAGTACAGAGAAAGTAAAGAAGAATTTTAAGTATATTAATTCTTGACTCACTGTGAAGAAATATTAAAAAAGATTTGATAAAGATCTCTATTGTAACTGCAGAGCTAATAATTATTATACTAGTAAGTACAGAAAGCTGAAGAAGAGAAGAAACTGAGAAGATATCTTCTCAAAGTTAACTTCTCTTCTAACAAATGCATCTGCAGAAGATAAAGAAGAGAAAGAAATAAAGAATTAATAATTCTCATATCTCTGAGTTCATATTATGATTATAATGAATACTCTGAATAAAGAGATATCAGTGAGATGTCTACTCAACTTCAGAGTAGATACTAACTTCATATCTTATTTCTTTTCTTTAATAAAGAATTGAAAGAAGATAGATCTGTCAGACTATATAAACTTTACTGATGAAATGAAATATCACTGTTTTAACATAATCTAAGCAAAGTGTGTGATTACAGACTCAGAAGAAATCTTCAAGAAGAACAGTCTGCTTCTTCACACTGTTAATATTATAGATGAGAATATTATTCTAGATCTTTTATAATTGAGAGAAAACAATTCTCTCATTGACTGAGTTCCTCAGACATGACAGTATTATCTCACTAATAAAGAGACAGTGATAGAGAAATCTGAAGAGTTTCATCAGAAGAATCTTGAGAAAAAGATAGAGTTAATATACTGTATAGTAGATGACTGAGACTTGAAGATAGATGAAGAAGTCATCATTCTCACTATAAGAATAGTAGCAGTATTCATCATTGAAGATAGATGAATATAATATCTCTTTACAGATTATAAGAATGTCTTTTCAGAAAGAGAAGCAGTGAAGTTTTCTAACATTAAGATATGATATAAGATTTATCTTGAAGATGATGAAATGATGCTGTACAGATCTTTTTATAACTTGTTAGTAAAGAAATTGAATGTTCTGCATAAATATCTTGAAAAAGTGCAATCAAAGAATTGAATATACTCATTAAAGAGTCTGACAGAGACATTCATACTATTTGTGCCTAAGAAGAACAGTAGACTATGTCTATGTGTAGACTACAGAGATCTCAATAAGATGACAGTTAAGAATTACTATTTATTACTGTTAATTGACAAGATAATCAATTAATTATCTGAAGTAAAGATGTTCTCAAAGATTGATATACAGAATATCTATCATAGAATCAGAGTTAATAAAGATGATATTTGAAAAACAGCTTTTCATATTAAGTACACTAATTTTGAATATCTTATTTTATCTTTTGATCTTTGTAACACTTCAGTCATCTTTCAGATCTATATAAATGAGACACTGTGAGGTCTTGTCAATATCTTCTGCATAGTTTACTTAAATAACATTCTAATCTTCTCAAAAACAGAGAAAGAATATGATACTCATGTTTAAGAAGTGTTGAGTCCCTTGAGACAGTATTAACTCTATACAAATACTGAAAAATGCTTGTTCTACATATAGAAGATTGATTTCTTAGATTATATTATTGAGATGAACAGCATTTTAATGAACAGAAGCTGAGTCTTTATCATTGAGAACTGATCAGTGCTGCAGATATACTGTGAGATGCAGATATTTCTAGAATTTGTGAATTTCTACAGATGATTTATCTATACATATTCACAGATTACTGTCTCTCTTACAGATCTGTTAAAGAAAAGTGTGAAAGATAGAAAAACAGAACTGTTTATTCTCACTCAAGACACTGTGCAGATATTTGTAGAATTGAAATAAGCTTTTACAGATATTATAATACTGAATCACTTTAATTCTGACTTACTCAGTCAGTGACTCAGTGTGAGACTGATGCATCTGAAAGTGAAGTCTGTGAAATCTTTTCACAGTTGACACTGAAGATCTTTTAACATTGAAAGAATCAGAGAATAATAGCTTCTGAGAATATAGACAATGAAATATCTGTAAGAGAAGACTTTTTCACAGAGTCTATAAAATACTGTGAATAAAGAGCAGTAATCTTCTTTTTCAAGAAATTATCACTTATATAGAGAAGGTATGATACTCATAATTAAAGAATATTAGTAATTATCAAATCTTTTAAGATCTGGCAATATTATCTTCAGAGTAGTAAGTACTCAGTGTAAGTTCTCACTAATTATACAAATCTATATTACTTCTTAATAATAAAGAGCTTGACAGAATATCAAGCTAGATGAGTGAAGCTGCTTTCAGAGTATGATTTCTATATATGATACTGTTCAGATCAGCTTACTCCTGCTGATATGCTGTCTAGATAACTCAATTATAATATTGTTAATAAGAAGAAGAATTCTATAAAAGAATCTCTGTTATCACTGCAGAAGAAGCTAGCTGCAGAGGATTAAGATTCTCTGAAGCTTAGAAACAGCACTGATAAGACAGCTATGTGACTCAGTATAGAAGATGAAAGAAAATCTGAATCTCTGCAGAGAACTGACACTGAAGATCATGAGCTTCTCATATTATATCTTACTATCATTGAATTGACAAAGAATGAAATAGTCTATAATGTTTCAACTTAACTACTTTTAAAATTTATTGATAAGTTATAGAAGAGAGATATCTCTACTGCAGTGTGAATTCAGAAGTTAAAGAAGAAAGAATTCAGTTTAAACTTGAAAGAGACAGACTCTGAGTAAGACAGTGTTACTAAGAAATCAAGTCACTGATAACTAGAAGAATGTGAACTTCTACTACTGAATGATTCAGTCTTCATTTCTTATAGCAGAATAATGTGTTAGAAGTTATTAAGAATTTATTATAATAATTCTCATACAGAGCACTTTGAGCTAAAGAACACTGAGAAGCTTCTAAAATATAAATATATTTAAGACAAGCTCTGAACAGATGTTAAAGAGTATACTAAGACTTATAATATCTATTAAAGAATAAAGATTCTGTGATATAAGTAATACAGTGAGTTAATATCACTATATGTTTCAAAGAGTCTATGATAGAATCTATTAATGAATTTCATAGTTAATCTGCTGAAGTCAATAAGAGTCAAAGAATATGACTCAATTTTAGTTATTATCAATTATTTCATAAAGATGATAAAATATATCTCTACTTATAAAAAGATTAAAGTCTCTGAATTGACTGATCTGTTTTTAGATATTATTATTTATAATCACAGTACTTCAAAATCATTGATAACAGATCAAGAATCTCTCTTCATTAGTAAATACTAATCAGTCTTTTACTATTATCTTATAATAAGATATCTTCGCAGCACTGCATTTTATCTGCAGACAGATAATCAGACTGAACATCAGAATCAGACATTAGAACAGTATTTTTAAGTATTCTATTTATATTATTAGAATAATTAGCTCAAACATTTTCTGATCACTGAATTTATATATAATAATACAAAGACTATAATCTTCAAAGTATCTTTTTTCTATACTTACTATAAATATAATTCTTTGTTATTCAGTGATATTGCAGATAATGTTTCAAAGAGAGAAATAGACAGTCAGAATATTGAATAGATGCAGAGAATAGAGTATCTCTCAATATCAGAAGTAAAAGTAAGATTGAAACTTTTAAATAAAATTCATAAGAAGACAGTGAAAAGTATTTATCATACTCAGAAGTAGTAGATAGAATACTATAATTGAAAACATCTTTTAATGAAGTTCTTGATAGAGAATTAAGTACTACTTTTAGTAAAGAATATCAAGATAATAAGATTGTATAAGAAGTTTAATGAGTAGTGACTAGAATCTTTTTCAGTAATAAGAGTAATGAGTAAGCAGATATATAAGTTGAAATTACTCTCAGAATTGAAATCAATTTATTCTGATTTTTATATTTTCTATTTAAAGCTCTATAAGCAATGTCTCAGAATGAAGCTGTCTCAGTCAGATAGTATCAAGATTAAGAGTGATACTGAATATCTTATAAAGAAAATATTGAATAAGTGAATATATTATAATATTCTTCAATATTTTATTAAATAAGAAGATTATTCATTATCAGAGAATTTATGAAAATCACTTAAGTATTTGAAAAATGTTGAGAAAGAGATTGTAAGCTATGAGATAACTAGTAGAGACTGTCTCATTACACATCAGAGATGTTGAGTAAGAAATATTATTTAAAACTTCTTATTTTTTTAATAAGTTTTTTAGAGATAATCTTATAGTAATAAGCTGATATCTTATAAACTCTGTAGCACTCTTCTTCTATTTTCTCTTAAAGAGATTTTAAAATTTTAATAAAACTATATAAGTGTAAAATTCCTGAAGCAGTTAGAGAAAAGAGATATTTGAAACTAATAAAAAGATTAATATTATCAATCTGTGAACTACTGCTATTCTAATAGAGCTGCAGCCTGTAGAAAAAGTAAAAAGAAGAAATTTCAGAGTCTACTCATCAATAATCACACTCTTATTAAACTCATTCTTCACTGTTGAAGTCTCTAATATCAGTATCTTTATCTGCTGAGAAGTTAGTGCTGCAGTGCTGTAGAAAAGTATAAGAGATATATAAAGTATTAACTTATTAATTTACAAAGTATCTCAGTTATCTGCTTTAATTAAAGTGAGATTCTCTTCAATCAGTAATTTATCTCTGTGATACTTTTAATAACAGTACTAACTGATCTCTTCTTAGAATCAGTTATTCTGAGGTGTTTTTTCATCTCAGAGACTTATACTTTTATCTTCTTCTGTAGATAAGCAAGAGAAATCTTTTCAGTCTTGATAGAATTTATCAATATTTGAAGCTCTGAGATTCTCACTCTGTACTACTTAAGTATCTGAGCTTCTTATCAGAATCAATATAACATCTTCTTATAGAATAGATAATACTTCCAGAGAAATAAAAGTTATTATTACAGATATAACAGAAAGAATAGAAGTGAGAGAAGAGATAGATATATAAGATTCTCTCCTTCTTTAGCTGCTTAGTATAGTGTAGATAAGTAATAGTACTGATCAGAGACTGCACTGAAGCCTTCTCACAGAGAGAAGACAAAGAAATTATGAGATTCTGCAGACTCAACTTAGCAGCATTCTGAGCAGGGCTTAAGTGTGTCATGAAAGAGAAACTATGAATTGAGCTTCTCAGAGTCACTATCTTCAGAATCAAGCTCTCTCTGAGGTTCTCTCTGAATAATCACATGAGGTCATATATCATTATGTTGACTGAGGAGAAGAGGCAGTATTACAACAGTGATAAGAGAGGCAAAGAACAGACTGAACACAGACAAACTGACTGATAGAAGGGATGACATCTCACTGCAAGATGCAGCTACTACCACCACAGCTGTAAGAGATGTAGAAGGAGAAGAAGATGTGACAATGAAAGCAGTGCTCCCGCGGCTCATTGACATCATCATCTCTGCCTTCAACCTGGCTTTCTTAGCAGCTACAGAGGCTGCAGCTGCATTACAAAGACATTTATTACTCACTAGAAAACATCAGAATAAGTCTCTTATTATCTTTCAAGAATGATGCTTTCATACACTCACTATTACAGATGAGAGAGAGAGAGAGAAATATGTTACAGAGAGAAGAAAATCTTTTTAAAAAATCCTGTTACTACTGTTAGCTTTGTCTCTAAAATACATCACTTTTACAAAGAGTTTTACACACAGAATGAAATATATTAAGAGATCTGTAAGTAGACTGGCCGCCGGAACCATGAATTTCACATTTAGTCTCATTTGATCTGATCTCATACATTTCTTGGCGTGAGTCTCATCAGAATCAAGCCTTAAAAAAATCTAAAAATGAACCATTTCTGAGAGAAATGATATGAAAAATAACCAGATTTAATTCAAGAACAATGAAATGAGAGTAATTTCTCAGAATAAACTGTGAAAGATGATTATTCTTCTAAAATCAGAATGAGACTGAAACTGAAAATCAAATTCAGTCTCATTCAGTTCATTCAGTGATTGCTTATATAATCAGAATTTGATAATGATTATTGATAACACTTATGAAATAACTAAATACATTCTTGTATAAGTTTTTTCTTCACTTTCTTATGAAAACTACACTTCTCTGATATACTGTGATCAGAGATATTAAACTATCTGATAATTTCATGTTTTATAATCATGAGTTTCTTGATTATTTCTTCTTATAATTGTTCTCAGTAATAGTGATAAATATCTCAGCTTAAGTTTAACTTTTACTTTATTCTCATCTCTATCAATGAAATTAACAGAATATTACATACTATCAGTGTAACAGTTGACTATATACTCTTAACAATTTTTTATAACTATAGAATTAATTTAGTATATAAATTCATTGAATAATCTTGAAGATAGCAGTCAAATTCAGTTTTATAAGTATATAATTTTGCCTGATTTTCAGTTATAATCAATATATGTAAGTTCTGTTTTTAAGTTAGTATTATAGTTGTATATGATATGAGGTGTTATTAAAGATTATTACTTATTAAAGAATTGTATTTCACTGTCTTCATATCTCTAATATCTGCTTATTCAAATCTATGATAATTGACATTATAGTAGTCTCAGACTAATTTAATATATAAGTCTCATTTCCTCTCTATTCAATCTTGAGAAGTGTAGATATTAATTTAATAGAAGAAATCTAGTAGAGCTGCTATAGTATAGTACTTTATAAAAGATTGTTCAGTTTTACTGTAGTAATATACTAGTTTATTTCTTATAGTAATAATAGATAGCACTATAGTATTATCTCAGACTGAATTTCTTTTTAAGTGATTTAACTACTTCTTAAGATAAGTAAATAAACTGTTACACACTCATCAGACTGACTGTAGTATTAATGTATAAGTGCTTGAGACTATCTTTATTATCTTATAAAACTGAAACAGTAAATCAGTTATATATTTCAACTGAGTTTACTCTATATCAGAAAGTTTCAATATCTGAATCTTTTTCTAATCAGAGTGTTACACTTAATAATTAATTATATGATACAATTAAAGAGTCTGAACAGTTATCTTATATATTAAACTTTATTATATTCTAATATTCTGTATCATATTCAGTGATGTGACTGATTTGTTTATTTATTGAATATTATGAAATTGTTATTATTATTTAGAGAAGATATAAATTGTATTAATAATGTTTCAAATCTGTGATATTTAAATTATTAGTCAATCTATTCAAAATTAACAGTAGTATTATTAAAAAGTATTATTAAAAAGTAATATTAAAAAGTGTTGTTAAAAAACATTATCTTTTATAAAGTAAATATAAAAGTTACTTAAGTAACTACTTTCATCTCATTCTCATCTCAAGAATCAGTCATTTTATTATTCTTTATCTTGATATTAAAATTATTATTATTATTATTATTCTTTCATTATACTCATATGCAAGCGGAGCTTATGATGAGTCCTTGCGTGATGTTAAATACAGGTCAAGTGTTGGTTATACAGGAGGAAATACAGGTGTTGAGACCACGCCAAGATAACAAGAACATAGGAAAATACAAAGGAGTGACAATTAGATACATGCAATAATAACTTCCCAGCCCAGGAACATAGAGCAATTCATTGAAGCGATTTGTACACCTCTGTATTTATTAGGAACCTGAGGTGCTTGAGTTCCGGATTTAATGTATTCCCTGCGGGTTTCGAACCCACGCGCCTTGGTTTCCCACGCCAAGGTGCTACTGGGTGGCCGCATTAACCATTCAGCCACCGGGGCTTGATATTAAGATTCTTTATCAGTGTTTATATCACAAGTTGAATTATATAAGTAATACAGAGAATATAATCTTATTTATCATTTCAGAAATACAAAGCTAATTTTTACTTTAAGCTCTTTATTATAGTATAGTTATTTGCAGTATTATCAGTTATAATTGTAAGAAGACTGAGACTAATATCTTAATAGTTATTTTTAATCACAGATATTAATATCTTCATTATATAATTCTCAGTATGACTACTGATTAATGATTCAAATTCAATTAATATCTCTTAATAAGTTCAGTTCTCACTAATATAATAATATATAACTCTTATAAATGCAAGATTATTTGTACTAGTTTATGTAAGAAATCCCGCTTCTCACGGATCTGTTACCTCTATTCCTATCTCTCGCGTAATCAATAGAGTTAGCAGCCCTTGGCTACACACAACTATATAGACTGAAGTTTGCAAATACTATTCATAACTCAGCTTGAATACTATTATATATTTAACTTCTACATTTTATCTTTCTACTATAAATACTTCTAGTAGTTAATAGTATATATCACATCAAGCTGCAAACACCTGAATAATCATCTGTGAGCACTTATTCTTACATTTCAAGCTTAGTCAGTCAGCAACTGCTCATTATAACTGAAAGAACTAGAAACTTATATATTTCAATCTATATAAATTCTTCTGCAGACACTCAGAAGCAGTTATCTGAATTATAAATAACACTTATAAAAGAAGTTTCAGAGAACTTATTAATCACTTATAAGATATTATTCTCTACATCTGTGACAGAGAAATTCTCTGAACTCATAAATAAATCAATCTTAGTGAAGAATATTCTTGAGAATCTTTCACAGAATCAAGTTATTTTTCTACAAGAAATACTTACTATCTGTAAACATTCTCAAACTGAGTCTCTAAACATAATCTTCAGAGATACTTATGAACTGAAAAGAAACTTTCTTAAGCTGTGATCACTTAAGATCACTTATCAAATCACAATCTATAAAAGCTTTTATAAGTTTGTATTTAAAATTGACTTACAAGCTCAGCTGTGAAATATGAAAGATGAAGAAGCTGTTATCTATATAATGATAGATCTCTACTACACTGAAGTCAAGAACTGACTAAATTATCTAGAGAATAATTACAAGAGATTCTGCTAATCTGTTCTCAAGATCTATTTAGAGAATAAGTTAAGAGACTCTGTGAGCTGAACAGAGAATATCTGAGCTATAATCATTAATATTAGAAAAAGAGGTAAGAAATCTGATAAAGACTACTCACAGTGCTTCATGAAATTATAATATGAATTGAGATCTGTGAAAACAGAGTTCTGAAACAAGACCTGAATAATGATATTTATAAAGAGACTGAATAAAGATATGCAGAATAAGCTTATTAAGTAAGACTCTAAACTCTTGACTCTGAAGAAACTGATGACTCTTATTCACTACTTACAGATCACTGTGAGAGTTATAGATCTGTGAAGAGTGAATCACTGACTAGTTCTGTAAGAGTGAGAACAACAGAGAACAGATTTATCAGAGAAAGATAATAAGATATAGAGAGATTTATATCTAACTGCTGAGCAGAGAGAGAGAGCTTTATAAGCTTCTATGAATAGAGTGTATAATAGAGAGATTAAGAAAAAGAGACTCTGCTTTATCTATTCTAAATCAGAATATCTTCATGCAAACTGTCTGAATAAATTAAAATAGAAATTTGAGAAGTTGTGAACAGAGTCAGTAACAGTCTTCTTAAGAGTTTTAAAGCTGATATCTGAATCTGTTACTCTCTCAATGAAAATACTTACTTATAGAAAGAGACTGTACTGTAGTACTACTGTCTCACAAGTATAAGAAGTATTAATAAACTCATAATCTCAGGTCACTGTAGTGTTTCTAAAGCTCACAGAGTAAATGAGCTGAATGATAAAAACTGAGAATCTACTCTTATAATAAGAAGAGTATGAGAACTCAGATCTGAGAGCTAAGAGACTTACAAGAGTTATCTTTAAATTGCAAGATCTCTTCAGAATCTGAAGAAGATTTGCAGAAACTGTGATTATTACAGATATCACAGATAATATATACTTAAAACTTGTATAACTTCAAAGACACAATCTGCACATAGCTGTTCATAAGTCAGATTTATACTTTCAATCAGTGTTAATAGACTCACTTACAGAGATAGAATCAGTTGATGCTGTAAAGTGAATTAGAGAAGACAAGCCTATCTATATAATAACTTTACAAATGTCTGAGAACTTCACAGTTATGAAAACTGAGCTTCAGATATCAGAGAAATACTGAGATCTTATAGAGATATTCAGCTCAGTAAAGACAGCTGAGCTTTCTTCTCACTATAAGAAGAATCTGATAATAAATTTAATAGAAGAGTAGAAATTCTTCTAAGAATCAATTTATAAGCTCTCTCATTA